CCCCAAACAAAAAACAACAACAACAAGATTGGTGAAAATTCAAAAACCTTTGGAAAATTGAAAGTTTTTTCACTTGGATTATTTTGACGAGAGCCTGATTCTACCACGCTGCCTCACATAATATGATTAAATTGTGGCACACCTCTCCATGAGCACACATATCATATAGACTCCCAGACTACCTGCGTCTGTGGTGTACTACAATACAGTTACTGTCATCGACGACGCCGTAGCACACAGAAGACAGGAGTTCGATAACCGAGTGGTCAACTTAAAAAACAAAACAACAACAACAACCCCCCCCCCTAAAAAAAGGAGAAAAAAAACAACAACAACAAACAAACCCAAATCAAATCTTGTAGTCTATCACCGTCTGTCTGCTGGGAGGCTGCATCCCACTCCGCCTTCACTGACTCTATCGTTGTAACCCACCTCTTAAATTTACCTAAATATGTCGATAGAAGCGCAGTACATTAGCTACAACGCATCAACAAAAATGTTATGATGAATGCTACTTGTCAAGATTCTTTAGTCTAGGGCCAAATCGATTCGTATCATTCGATTAAACCATTCGTCAAAAATGTGGATTTTGTGAAAACCAATAATCTTACTGATTACTGAAATACGTTTTTCACCTTTAGTTTCAAGCACCGACCCAGCACGAACTCTCCTTTCCAGGTATTTCTGACTGTCTCCTTCACCCTCGATTCTGATTGCTGTGATGTGTGACCTGCTGAAAAATCTAGAGGGCATGGTCTTGGCGACTTCTTCGATGGTCTGGAAGCATGTAGAACGACTGAAGTCTGAGGGGACTATCTCGAACCAACCTGGGCACAATAATTACATGTTTCGTTCAGCAAAGTAATTAAAAAGCATAACAGAAGACATTTTGAACATAGATCGAGTGAGTAAAACAGTAAACAGAAGCAACAGTGGGATTGTAACGAAATATATCCGTGGGCCCATTGGACAGCTATTAACCTCTAGAACGATTGGTCTCATATATGTGTAAACAGAAATGAGAAATGCTGATCACTTTCTTGGCACACACACATACACACACACACACACACACACACACACACACACACACACACACACACACACACACACACACACACATACATACATACACACA